GAATGCATTAAGAAATATTTGAATACTGATTCTTTATCAAAAGGAAAATTGTTATTGATTATTATCCTAATTTATTGTCATTTAGCTAAAGGTAAATTGCTTGCCTGGTCCTTGACGATTAAGATAATGGGAAATGAGTGCTTTAACTTCTTTTTTCGTAATATTTAACTACTCGTGACTTTAACCTTCCATTTTAGGTGGATTTTTATCACTTTTAGTAGAAATCATTAAGTTAGTTGATGAAAAGGCAAGTTTGCCTTCTTGTTTAATTTACTATAAAAATGAAAAAGAAGAAATGAAAATCATGGCTTCACCGACCGCCTCCCCTCTTTTGTAACCGGGTGATGCTACATTTACGTAATGGAGTGTCCATAACGATGTCAACCCCTTCACATGGAGGGGGACCCGCTTTGAATAAAATATAATACTTTATATCCAAAGTGGTCCCCTTCATGTGAGATGGTGGACATAGTTATGGACACGACATTATGTACAAGTAGCATAGTTCAATCCCTTACTCAGGTGTTGATCTAGACAAGGGAAAAAAAAGCCTTTTGTTTCTTCTTGTAATCATGAGCGTCCAGAGTCGACATATTTTGCTTAATAGCGAGATGTTAGAAGTAAACTCTGATTATCGATCGAAAATGATTTCTTTGAGACAAAGAAAAAATCATTCATGTGAAAAGACTATTTTGACGTTTCATTGAAAGAAGAGAGGGAAAACAGAAAAGGTAACAGGGACCAAATAATGCTATATTTAAATGAAATGAACACACTGAGATGCAAAAGAAAAATAGATAATAAAAAGTCTATAATCATATAGCTGTTCTTTGACCACCATTTCATATTCGAATACGTGGAATGCACATTATAGACAAAGTTGAGCCCAGAAAGCAAAAAGATACAAATTAGCCTTTCTATGCATCATCCTACGGTTACTTCCATTTAAAATATCATTTATTTAAATCATTTTCAATTGCAACTAGTCAAGTGTTACATCTTTATCTCTCATTCTTTTAACCTGCCCTCTTTCGAATTTATTTTGCTAAAATCGAATTACATAATGTTGTTCCAAGTGTATATGATAGCGAGAAAATGTTGTTTATGTAATCAAACAAACAAAATTTAATATGCACGAGCGTGACTAAACTATATATACATATATAGGGGTTGAAAGATGTAATATCAAAAATTAAAATTGTAGCCAAGAAGTAAGAAGAAGAAGTAGAAGTAGTAGGAAATGATAATTTGAGCCAAGTGATGACACTTTCTCCTTAAAACAATATTGCCTCGTTACGGTGCTTATGGTTGTCGGCACTTGTCTCACAAGATACAACAGATTCAATTCTTGTGGTAGCAGCACTTCAAACCACAAGACAATGATGAACGTGGTGGAATTTCCTCTCTACAAGGAAAACCGTTTTGGAATGAATTTGGGAGAGTTTTTGCAAGATATTTTATGAATGCACATATGGTATGAGATGCAAAAGGGACGTCAAAGGGTTTCTATATATAGAGGATGGGGAGTTGTGAATGAAATGCCGCGTCTCAAACTCAACAACACTTGCTAAAAGTCACACCATTCACCGTTGCTAACCTATCGCCTCACTCGAACAATAAAAATAATGACTTTTTCGCTAGCTTGTCGCTAGCCCGTCCCTCGAGTAACAGTCCAGCCATAAGCTAGCAACAGCTTTAGTCAATTTTTCAGACAGCTTCCTCTATTTTCTTCCCCACTTTGGACCACAATTTCTCATTCATCCGGAATTAATTTTGAGGTTTCAAATATAAAAGACGATCTACTCGATTAGTAGAACAAGTTGGTATATTTACATTTGTAATTTGACCATCAGATCAAGTCCGAATATTTGGTCGAAGTTGACACGAAAGTCATTTTTTCCAAGTTTTTGGTTTTGACACTTAACCAAATTTTTATTCTTCTAAACCAATTTTCAACAATTCTCCACATGAATGGAAATTCGAAAATGCATATGCAATGCGAAA